AAATCCATCAAAGAGCTGGGTGACCATGTGACCAACTTGCGCAAGATGGGAGCACCAAAATCTGGAATGGCAGAATATCTTTTTGACAAGCACACTCTGGGAGAAAGTGACAATGAGAACTAAAGCCACTCATGAATGTTGCAAAGAGACTCTTACCCTCAACACCTGTGCATGCTTCTTTGGTTTATCTCTTAATATTTCCATAATTGTAAAAAAAAAAATCACTTCTGTTCTTATGTGTTATATCTCACGCCCAATAAAATGACTAGGTCTACTTATTTCCAGTTGTGCTGTGGTATGTTTTGAGTTTGAAAAAAATAAAAAAATACACTGCAAGAAGAGTTTCCCTATAAATGAAGTGTTGGCTCTGGTCTCAATCCAAAGCTGAAAATGTGCTTCAGAGTGGTTGTGGATATGGTTTCTTCAAGGTGGCATTAACATGCCTAATAGCAAAACACCTTTTTGGATGTGGATCCAAAGGGTAGCTCAATTTTATTAATTTATAGGCCCATGTTTGGATTCCCAGTTACAATACTGCCCAACTTCTGAATATCTGATTAATATTAAGCTTGTTTTGTCAACTATTCAGTTGTATGGGCTGCAACTTACAAAAGTCCCTATTTTTATACCAGGAAATGCAGCACAGTTTGAGCTATTATATTTACTTAGGAGTAAATATTGAAATAGATGGCACTTCAATAAATGTGGATAAGAAAGTGTTAATGTCATGTCCAGACAGCTCTGTGTTTGACCTGTAGAATCTGTATAATCATGAGTAAGAAGTTGCTTCCATATAAAGAGCACAAACCCACCTTTAATGGAAATTAAGCTATACCATATGGCATACATTCTCAAACTTGGTCTATATTTTAAGGCAATGAATTTCCCAGTGTTCTGCATCACTGGAAAACTAACTAAACTAGCTGTTGGAGCAAGTTTAAGTTAAAATAAAGATGCTTACTTTGAAAACAAATCACGTGGTGTTACACTGTTGAATTGTATATGCAGAAAAGTTTAAAACCTGTTGCCTGGATGCATAGTAAAATTTAATGATTCATTAAATGTATGCTGCATTAAATGGGACACAGTTTGGGATGTTGAAGGGGGATTTGGTTTCTAAGTGATGTGGCATGTCAATGTCTTTTATGGTGGCAGCACATTGGAAGCCATCTGAATACTGACCATGTACAGCAGGGGTGTCAAACTTGATTTCATTGAGGGCCACATCAGGGTTGTGTTTGACCTGGGGGGGGTAGGTGTGGCCAGGGTGGGCATGGCCACCTCGACGTCACTGGTGTCGGGATAAGTGCTAAGGCAGGACTTCCCTCAGACCCTCATAATTTTCCTTCCGTCTACCCGTCATTCCTTCTTCCCCTCCTTATTTTTCCTTCCTTGCTCTTCCCTTCTTTGTCTTTCCCTTTCTCCTTTCCTGTCCCTTCTTGCATGCTCAGATGCAAAAGGAGAAACATTTTCCTTTTGCTTTTAGTTTGTTTTGCTAGCCCTCTGCCAGCGAAAACTGAGCTCACACATTTTCACTGGCAGAGGACTGCAGGAGGCTGTCGCAGCCCTCCTGAGCTCCATTTTCGCTGGCAGAGGCACTTGCAGGCTGGTCCTTTGCTGTTTTCAGGGCGACCTCCTGTGCCAGATCTAAGCACCCAGTGGGCCGGATCCAGCCCGTGAGTCCTGAGTTTGACACCCCTGATGTACAGTCCAAATGTCACACTTATTCTTCATTGGATTACTATGGGCTGTACTCTTGCTCAGCCATAATAAGGAATGGGAAGCTCAGTGGGAAAAATGCTGTAAAGCAACAAGGGATTATTTTTGGAGTTTCAGGGGTGATGGGGCAGTGGGGTGGGGCAGTGATGCAGAGTTAGTCAGCCAATATTAGGCATGTTTGGGTGCAGCCAGATTTTTCTGTGGTTTTTGTTTTGTAACCAAACCTGCTTTACAAACAAACGTCTTGTATTCTGCATCAACACAATAAACCATGCTATCAGTTTTCTGTTAAGGAGGCCTTTGGGTCCAGAATAGAGAGCTAAACACAACATGTGACATGAAGCCTCACATTGCTTATCTCTCTAGATCAAAAGCTAAAGTAACAATGGAAAATTACAATGTTGGCCAACACACATTGTGACAAATGTCATTTGTTCCTAAAACCATTTGGCTTGATTTTATAATAGCAGTAAAGACTAACTTACCTGCCATAAAATGGTTCTTTTTCTCCAGCATTTTTTAAACATTCACTTGAGATTGTCCTATTTTACTCTTTCATATGCCAAGTATGTTTACAGAATATTTTCGGACATAACATAGACTTTTAAGACATTGCAAGACAGGATAAGATCTCTTCGCTATAGACTATTCTGTTACCAAAGTAGTCTGAATATTGGGATCTCTAACTGATGCAACTCTACTCATAGCCCCTGTTTGAGGTTTCTCCTACTTTCCCCAGAAAAAAAAATCAAAACAATGTTAAGATGTTGGATTAAAAAACTGAAGACAGATTCAGGCTCAGTCTTCACCATATTTTTAGTAGTTAATTTTGGGCCAGTCACTTTTCTATCCTGCAGGATTGTACTATGACAATGAAATAAACTGGACAGCCCCATTCTATAAGCTTCCCTTGAGACCTTGGAGAAAGGTGAGAGAAATCTAAAGAGCAAAGAAATTGTTTACAGAACAGACTTGCTCTGTAGAAAAGATGTTCTCCTTTGGACTTCATAAAAGACAGACAATGAAAGTCCTCAAGTCTGATATGCATTTGTTTTATTTCATAACTTATTAGGCCAGCTTTCCACTATGATCTCTGGAATTACATCTGAAAAGCACAAGGTTAAAGGAGAAATCAAAAGGAAGGATAAACAAAGATTTGAATGTTGGGGACATTTCCACTGGGTCTCTAAGAAAACTGTGAAGCCTCTCAAGGTTTCTAACATGACAAACTCAGCCACTGGTGTAATGGTTAAGGCAGCCCGCTAGAAACCGGGAGACAAGAGTTCTAGGTACAAAACAGGCAGGCAGGCAGGAAAAATATGAAAATGTTGCCAAGAATACTATAGGGACCTGCCTAGACATTGCCAGGATTCCAGACTGACTTGAAGGTGAGAGGGATGGAGCAAGGAGAGGGAGAGGGAGAGAGAGAGAGAGAGAGAGAGAGCTCAATCTGCCAATCTCAGATAGTGATTCTTCATATTTCCTTGGCTGCAGTTATTCTGGCACCTATCCCACTGTCCTAGCACAAATTTGATTATATCTATTAATTGCACAATTGGTTTAATACTACTGTCTGCTTTCTATCTGCAGTTTATATTAGGAGGAACTGAAACCTTTTCTTCAGTTGGTTTCAGGTGTTACTGTCACCTGCTTTTTACCAATAGATTATAAACAAACATACATGAAAAGTATTTTAAAATGACTTTTTCTTGCTAATCCTTTTCTCAGAAAGAGAATACAATGTAATATCTAGTTAGTAATCTAAAATGTTTTTGCATTCTACCACTGAGTTAGACAGCCCGATATAAACCTTTTAAACTTTACAAGAGAAGAAACTTCCAATTTTCTACTTCTCCATTTATTTTCAAGTTGTCTTATACAAGTAAAACAACATTTCCCAAACTGTTGAAACACTGGCCCATTTTTTAACATATTGAAACTAGCAATGCATCTCCTACATATTTTCTAATTGACCTTCAATAGGCATCTTGTTTGCTAAAGTGACCAAATAATATTGTCCTCTGATATCTCAACTTCTTTTTTTAGTCAAGGTAGAATTGTTCTGTAAGGCAACCTGTCGAGCCCGAAATTGACATATATGTAGCCATTTTATTTAGCTCTATATTCTAAGCATATATTCCTTTTCTTTCTTTCTCTTTGCTGATAAAGGGGGACGGGTTTCAGGCTCGCCATATTCCTAAGGTGGGAGGAGTAGTTAGATAGTAAGGATTGTTTTGGCTAGGTGACTTTCCTTCCCATGGGAACAGAAGCTGTTCCAGCCGAGACCTGGAGGTGGAGATTGATGACACCAGGCAACGTTGATTTATTTCTATTGGGGAATGTGACTTTTGGAGGCTGTTTCTAAATTCCAATATTATGTGGTGTAATTCCGGTTTGTTCAGATCCGGAATTACAACAGACTTTGCCAATTTGATGCTTATCTAAATAAAATAAATTTGTTTTGGAAGATGGATTTTGCTCAATTCTTTTTAAATGGGTTTCATCACTTAGAAACCTGACACCCCCAAGATTTGCATCCTCTCCTGCCATCTGGAGCACAGGACATGCCATCAAGTCCTGAATACCAAAGCCATACTCACTTCTATTAAAAAATGTTAGGTTTTGGGTTGGAAACTGACTGGATGAGTTGAGTCATATTGGTGTTGCCCAATTTGAATGGAGTGTACCATCATGCCACTATCCAATCTTCATCTGTAATTATTGCCTGATAATATCCACATGAAGTATGATCTTGTGTAAAAGAATCCTTCTAGGATCTAATAAATATAATTTGGCTAAGTGAACTGGTAATATTCCCAAGAAAAAAAAAATCCCCTTTGTAAGTAATTGGAGGATGGGGAAAAGAAGTCATTGTGTCCTTGGGCAATGACCATACAACTGGACATATGATTTATCTGTTAAATTGTCTCTCCCTGAAGTGGGATGTGCATTTGCAACACTGGCAGCAAGGTCCTGTTCTTTGGTACTTTCAGATAAAATAGCAAACAAAAGATTAAACATGGAACTAAAGTAACTCTGCTGAAATTAGAATTATTTCCTTAGTTGTGTGGTGCTGAAATTCCATGAGTGGCCCTTAACTTGCTTGATAGTGTCAGCATATATGCATTTATGAAATGAGCTGTCCGGCCTAAATGTTGATTTCCACTTGTTTTGTAGTCTGTAGTGTGGGCTTTTGCTACCCTTAAAAAGTTGAATAATAATGTTAAATATAATAAAGCAATTTCTCCCGTCACATCTACATGAAAAAACTCTGAGCCCACTTAACTGAACTGTCCCTTCTCTCCCTTCTGTTCATCGCTTGTGTTCTCACTTATTTCCATGATCACTTCCATTAATCCCACAAAGTCTCTTTCTGCTAGAGAGATGCCAGAGTCATTAGGTGAAGAGCTGGTGGTCTTTCTCTGCTCCTCAGTGTAATAAATACTTTCCAGGTCATTTGCAGCTTCAGAAGCAGCTGAACTATCTTGCTTTGTAACTCCAGGGGAAGCTTCTGAACGAGTGACAACAGCAGCATTTCCTTTGCTCCGATGAGATGGCTCAAGCCCTGTGGGAGTCAAAGAGGTGAAGGGAAAGAAAGTGACAGGACCATTGCTATTAGGAGTCTTGTTGTTATGAGTATAAAGGAAACTGGAATGGTCTGGAGATGTGTTATCTGGAAGTTGCTGGTGGCTTTTCAGGTTATTCAAGTTTTTGAAACTGGTTTGTATCTCAGGGCCTGTGCACTCCACAAAGGGGAACTTGGTACTTACAGAGTCCCCTGAGGACAGAGGTCTTTCCGGGCTTCCGAGAGGAGATGTTTCTTTTGACCAATTTATGGTTTTTGTATCGTCTTTAGCTGACATGATTAATGAATCTGAAACATGGCTTTTTTCATCTGGCCACGGAAAAGACTCCTTTGATTTTGAGCCAACCAAGTTCTCACTTCTATCCAAATCACTGGCTTTGCAAGGAGACTGGCTTGTAGCACTGTCCTTCTGAAAAGTGGGACAGGCAGCAATATTGGAGAGAGCAGGAGGTTTTTTCCGGGTTTGACGCTGGGATGGCAAGATCATTGGGACTGAGCTGATGGGTGTCTGAGGAGCACTGTAGAACCCAGGTCTTTCATAGAAAGGGCTTGATGTGAAAGCATCAAATTCTCTCAGTTTACTGGCTGCAGTGTCCCATTGATCTTGAGAACCGATGCCTAATGGGGAGCTATCTCCCCTTAGCTGGTTAATACTTTGGAGGTTCCCAGGCTTAACCCCATCCATATAAGCATAACAAGGAGAAGGAGAGATATTTTCATTCCTCCGACGTATAAGGCTCATTCTTGGTGACCTGGTAAAATTGGGAGATTGTACATTCAGAAAGCGGCTTATGTGCCCCAGTAGTGGTGTTGAGTGGTTTGCTTCCTCGTTCTCTTTGATCTTTTCCAGGGGTTGGAATTCCATCTCTTCTTTCTGCATGCTGTAGAAAGGAAACAGATAGTAGAATACAATGATGCATTGAAAAAGAGAATTGAAATCAAATGTCTGCAGGGGAAACTTTGGGGTGGGTGGGGAGGATGCACCTGGGACTCTGCACTTGATATGACAGACATATCAAGGCGGGGGAAATGACAAGTGCAAATATAAACCCCAAGAATCATTCCAATACTTCAGATTTCTCCATATACTTCTGTTTTTTGAATCATTTGATCAATGATCAAACTACAATGAAGGAATGAAAATGATATCAACAAAAGATATACAGGGAATGGAATGGAATGTTATATGAACATTCTGTTCTCAACCTTCTTAAAATCCTTCAAAAGCCATGATGACTCTCAGCAGCACCATCTCCAGGTACCAGTGGTCCCCCTGTCCTTCAACCTTGGCCATGTAGCTCAAAGAGTCTCAAGGTAATTGCTTTTACTTATCCCTCCCTATTATTGCTCATTGTTGCTTATCACCCTGAGAGACAATGAAGAAAACCAGCTGAATGCAACTCTTCTTTCTCATTCTGTTCTTCCTCCTCCTGCTCCTCCTCTCTGTCATTGATGCTCCCTCTTAGAGAGGAGAATGATAGAGGAGAAGATAGGGGGAAAAGTGGGGAGGAAGGAGATGAAGCAGGCCCAAGAAGCTCACAAGTGTGCCTATCCATACCAACTCCTAAGGCCAACGCTGTCTGTGCTTGTTAATATTAATATGCCAACATTCATCATTCTTGATTGCCTACGGCATTTTGGCAGAACAACAAAGTGCTCCCAAACTAATGAATGTGTATATGTGTATCATTGTGTATTTATGTATCTCCCTACTTTTTTACTAAGTGAAGGGCTTTCCAGTTGTAAAAACCATGCAATGTAAAACTAACTCCATCAAATGCATACCACAATACTGTACATTTTAAAAAATCAATTCAAAATGCATAGCATCTATGGTTGGCCAAGTTATTTTAGCACTTAGGTAGAGAAGCTCACAGCTTCCCAACTGCCTCCCCAATTCCAAGCAGGAACATTATTTCTGCTATTCCTATAATGGAAGAGTATAAGAATTTGCTTCCCTTTCATGTTATACCAAATTACCTATGTGAGGTGACTGCCTGATTCTGTCTACTTATACAGGTTTGAGTAGCTTATAATAGTAATAGTAATCCTGGTTTGAATAATTTAACTATGAGCAATATTGCAGATGCTTAAAAAATAACCCCATTAACAATTAAATATCACACCAAGAAAAGATGACTGTGGTGATGTGTCCTTATAATCTCATCGCTCAGAGCATGGTAGCATAGTCCTTTTAGAAATACTCTTATCTTGCAATAAATATTTCATTTGATTATTTAGATTTCTTATTTTTTTTAACCACCCATCTTCCTCATATCAATAACTTGATATCTTTGGTTAACAATATTTGTTTTATGAAGAGCTCAGGGGGAAAACTGCACAGGACTAAAGGAAGCATTTTGCTCTGGTAATTTGACAAAATCAGCTTCACAACATTGGGTTGGAATGAATGAAGTTGTTGTAATGGGTATTGTATCAAAAAGCTCCAAGTCTCAAACTAGCCAAATGAAACAATTTGGGTTGCTAATCTGGTGTAAAATACAGGTGTGTGTCAATCTGATATATATTTACTGAGAGTGAATCCTACTGAAGATAAAATGGTGGCACCCACCAACAAGAGAGAAACAAGAAATTAGTGACAAAGAACAATGTTCTGAATTTCCTTGGATGAGAAGCAAAATACTTTCAAAGGAAAAAAAAGTTGCCTTTTGAGGGGGAATAAAGCACCTTTGGGATAGTCAAATGACAAATGAGCATGTTTAATGTGGATTGAATTATTTCTTACTATTGAAGTTATGGACGGAGAAGAAACTGTAATATCCAAGCTTGGCATGGCTGCCTGAAACCCTGAACCGGTCCAATCCATACTGCAGAGCTGTGTATAAATCCTCTTACAACACCAGAGAGTCATGATGTTCCACAGGGAAGAGTCTACTGCAGATGTATATTCTATGACAAGAAAGGGATCCCTGTGGTTATTTGCTGTAGCTTCACTTGCCTGATGTCAAAAGTTGATCCAAGGAATGATGTCCTCTTATATTCTGCTGTTGCTGCAGTATAAGGTGGCTGGGGGTCTGATTCATTCCAATATGGATCCTTCTGCAATGCTGGTAAGTCCTGGTGCATTTCATCCACAGCCATAAGGGAGACCTGCCAAGATATGGCACACTATCTCAGTGGCAGTAGTTGCAGGTATTTGTTTTTTTATTTCTCCATTTCTGAGAAAACACCCATTTCTAATAATTTAGGGACAGCTGCAATCTAAGAAACAATTACGGACCTGTTGCTATTTAGTAACTGGATAGCTGGATAATGGGTTCTGCATGAAGATAAGAATGAACTATGGCTTGATAAGGCTTCAAGCCCCAAGCTGGCAACAAAACTAGGAGGGCTGTGAAACCCCAAAGGTTCACTTCATGGCTAAATGTTTCATAGACAGTGCAGTTCTTTCTAAGCAGTTAGGCCAGTGGTGGGATTCAATTTTTTTTTACTATCGGTTCTGTGGGCGTGGCTTCGTGGGCATGGCAGGGGAAGGATACTGTAAAATCTCCAGTCAGAGGTGGGATTTTCCAGTTCTCCGAACTACTCAAAATTTCCGCTACTGGCTTTCCAGAATTGGCAGAACCTGCTGAATACCACCTCTGAGTTAGGCTGTTGGTCCTTTTGCATTTAGAAAAAAATTATGGCTTCAAGATTAATAAGAATGTGTAACAGGCAAGAAAGCATGAATGAAGATTGGACAACCATTTGTCTAAAATGGTATGAAATGGTATAGAGATTCCTGCTTGAGCAGAGAGTTGGACCAGAAAATCTCCAAGGTTCTTTCCAACTTTGCCATTCTATTATTCTGTTAATGCTTGGTCAGAACTCTCTATGGGAGAGTTTAAATTTCAGGTTTTTAGAAATCATCCACCCATTGAAAAAACGTAAAAGAATATATGTTGAAGATTACTATATGTAAAAGATGAAAATACAAGTTTTTAGTAGCTGATCTTAGGCCAGCCATTTAGGTTTTTATGACAGAGTATACCATATCTGACAAGTAATATCTCAAAGAAGAGGAACGTAACATAAAACTTTTCACAGCCATATTTCTTTTGAATATTAGACATCTATTGCATTGCTGAGAAAGAAAATAAATTAAGTTCTAATTTGTGCTATCATTTATTTAAAGTTACATATCATGAACTACAAAATAATTATTTTTTTGAGACATCTCAGAAAGGATATATCCTAAGTTCTTCAATTCACCTGCAGATTCCTATCAATAAGCCAATTAGTTTCAAAGTCGTCATCATCCTCCCCAAATGGATTGATAAGCTGTTCTGCTACCTGTGAAATGGGAATAAGGACAAGATCAGAAAAAACGTCCATGGTGGTTCAGCAAAATATATCACACTCTTATATTTAAAGTGACATTACCTGTTAGTAAAAAAAACGAGTAAGATTAGTAGAATAGGATAATCTAAGACTCTTAGAAAAGGAAGCAACAATATATTTGTATTTATTAAAGACCTTGCAGATTTCCTATCTTTGTCAATTTTTTATCAGTCTCACTTCTGAGTTTAGAAACTGCCTGGAAAAAACACTGCTGGAGCTAAGGATTGCTGAGGTAAAAGAGCAGTACATGAGGGGGCTAATCACCTTCCTTTTACCATTTACTTCATAATACAGTATATAAAAAAGCATATCTGTATATTACATGTTATTTGATTCTCATTAGAATGTTGAGCTGGTCCTAACTACCATAATACAGAACATAGTTTTGTCACTTGAAATTCAAGAACAAACTTCAGAATATTATCCCAACGAACAGAAATTCTCTGGAGGACAATTCCATGTTAAACTGACCTTTAGCCAGCCAGCATAGAAGAAAAACTGCAAGAATGTGAAAATTGGCACATAGAGGTCCATTTCATGGCCAGGATACCCCTTAGCTGGATCCAAGAACTGCCGACCAATTAAACATGCAAGGAAGAAGCTGTAAACAGCTACCGTCACAACCTTGGAGAAAGAAACATTGTTAGGTTCTCTTTAAAAACCCTGACTTACTAGGATAGGTTTCTATTGAGGAGCAGTGTTGAACTAGAAGTCATTCCAAAATATGCTTTTAGGAACAGAAATTGTTAGATCTGAAGTGGATCGGTTCGAAGGAGACGCGAGACCATTCTAGTGAGTTCAGCTCTTTATTTAGAATAGGAACAGTCTGAAGAATACAAGCCGTGGCAGCCATTCATATAGGGCTGGCTCGTGGCTCGGCGGCCAATGGCAGCACTTTGAATCTCCCGCGATCGGCACAGCCAATTGCGGTAGATTCTTAGCGCTCCAATCACGGCCGGGGCTTCGACCAATCAGGTCGCTGTCCGTCTGGACCAATCAGTTTGCGAGGGTTTGGAGTATGCTAATACAGCACAGAAATACTATTATCTACACCAGGGGTGGGCAATTAAGGCCCTTGTGTGGCTCAGGAATTCTAGGAGTTGAAGTCTACAATCATAAAGAGACCATAGTTTTCCACTCCTGATTTACACTCAAGTCACTAGTTCAACAATTCAATATCCTCAACAAGCACAGCTTCTCACATCTCTTTTGTTGTGTGTGCTTTTGCAAAAATCCTGTCACCTCTGAGCCACAGGTGTCTAAATGTCTGCTGCAGGCCACCTGATATAGGCCTCACTGTTGCTTATTTAAACCATGTTAACTTAAACTCAGTTGATGAAATCTTTCCCCAATATAACATTTGCCTGCTTTTTGCAGTATCTTAGTGCATATTTCATTCTATTTACAACTTTACATTTATATCTTCCAGTATTTGCCTGGTTCACTCTCTTTCTTGATGGGGAAATAAAGATCTTTCATGGTACAGCTAGGACTACTAAAGTGATAAAATGAAATAGAATTGCTGTCTGGAGAAAAAATATTCCTTGGAAAGATATAAAAAATTTGAAGAGCTACATCCCATTTTTGTGGAGAGGTTTTCTGCTTAATCCAGATTTTAAAATATGCTACAGTTCGTACGCTATTCTATAGTTTCACATTTCAGATGGAACATTCTTAGGGCTACCACTGCTACTATTCCATATAAATTCTACATCATCAACAACCTGTTTTGGTTTTCAGAGCCAGTTTGGTCTAGTGATGAAAGCACTTGGCTACAGACTACGAGTTCAAATCCCACCTCAGCCAAGAGTCCACCTTAGCCATGAAAGCCAACTGGTGACTTTGGTCCAGTCAGTCTCTCTCTCAGATGAACCCACTTCGCAGGGTTGTTTTTGTGAAGAAAATAGGAGGAGGAAGGTACATTGTATATGTTTGGTGCCTTGAGTTATTTGTAAAAATAATATAGGACAGGATATAAATAAATAAAATCTGAAATCCAGATTTTCTTCCTGCCATTGCTTACATTTCGCTAACACAAAAATATATTTGAACTTCTAGAAGATAATATATGGGTTGAACTGTGGAGTCCTTGGTGCTCTCTGAGCTTGGTTGTTTACTTGCAGATATTTTATTCTGTTGTAGTCCACAAGAACTCCGCAATTTGAACCTAGCAATTTATACTCAAATGTCATCCTGCAATAAGAGATTATTTGTAGAACACTAGAAATAAAACCATTATTTGGAGTAAAATGTGGCAAAACTCATTATTGTTCTGTATTGCATTATTAGACTTGTTAACTAAGGCTGGCCTGTTGCCTAATTACTTGTTTCTTTAAACTAAAAGTTTAGGGCAGCAGTTTCTGCTGTTTCACTTTTAATCCACCTGAAAAAGCAAACAGGATTCCAGGGGCACAACCCAGCCAGTGAGAAAAAGGCATAAACAAAGGGATAGAAGGGAAATGAGCAGAAAAAGCAAGCGCTGCCTTATATTAAAAAGAACATGGATGTAAAGGCGTCTTGCAAGACACAAGCTGCCTTTCATTCACTCTACTCAATTCTGTTTCTAGCAACAAAGACTCTCCAAAAGTGGTGCAGCTAGCTTCCATAAACGCTGTGACTTGCTGTGACCAATTACATTTCCATGGGCATCAGATCTTGGTTTCATCTACTTTGGATTTGATTTGTAGGAGACCTAGCTGGGCTGAGTGTGAATTTCCCATTATACTTATTGGTGCACAAGGAATGGATTCTGCTTCTACCCCATAGAGTCTAAGTTCATTATCTAAATAGTAGGCTGGGGTTTGGGTGGCACTGAACAACTTATCTGCCTGGTGCTTGAAGAAGATAAAAGTGTGCTCTGCATGCACGTTGCTATCATTAAAGGCCATAGAATGTTTGCCAGTAGCTGAGAAACTGCTCTTAAGACTCCAGAAAAAAACATGATCTGTTGGAAAGTCATGCAAAGCTTCCTGTTTTTCCTAAGGAAGACATACAGAAATGTGCTTGCTTTGTGACAGTTGATGGATGCATAGCATACATTTAATCAAGTTGATTTAAATAGTGGTCATTCCCCATTTATTCTTAACTGTGGCACAAACATGTTTTAGCAATATAGTTTATTTTTCTGCTCAAACTTTCTGACATTGGCTTTATCTCATCCCCAGCTCATAAGTGAAGCTGCCTTAGGGTTATCATTAGTGTTAAAGTAGTTCTCTTTATTCTAACACCATCCAAACCAGAGGTGGTATTCAGCCGGTTTGCACCTACTCAGGCGAACTGGTAGCAAGAATTTGGTGTGGGTTGCCGAACCAGTAGCAACATCTAGCTGGTCACACCCCCAACCCGGTCGCTCGGTTTCCACTCACTCGCTTGCCCTGCCCACCCGATGCTCGCTCGCCCCAGTTTAAAGGAGGACTGCTCCCCCGCCTAGCCATGCATTTTCAAGCAGCCACTTGAAAACATATGACTGTGGGCGGAGCAGCAGTCCGTTAACCAGCAAAACTGTTCCAAGGCTGGATTCTTCATGGACATTAGAAGTATCGCTTCCCCTTGTGAGTAAAGTGCCTGGAGCGAGAGGGAAAGAACACTGGGGGAGGGGGGGAATCCAGCCATGGGGAAGTTTGCAGAAGCTGCAAATGCAAGTCCGTTAACCTGCAGAACTTCTCCAATGCTGGATTCACTTCCCCCTGTGAGTAAGGTGCCTGGAGTGAGAGGAAATGAAGGTTGACAGGTGTGTGTGTGTGTGTGTGTGTGTGTGTGTGTGAGAGAGAG